TCTTATACATTTTATTGTTGGATGTAACTGGGACCCTGTGTACATAATTTCGTTCCACCACATGTACCACATGATGTGCGAATGACAATAAAGAAACTCTGACTCTGACTCTGACTCTGTTTCTTCAGGTGTTAGCTGTGTCCTCTGGTGTTAGCTGTGTCTTCAGGTGTTAGCGGTGTCTTCAGGTGTTAACTGTGTCCTCGGATGTTAGCTTTGTCTTCAGGTGTTAGTTTTGCCCTCAGGTCTTTGCTGTGTCCTCAAGTGTTAGCTGTTTTCTCATGTTAGCTGTGTCTTCAGGTGTTAGCTGTGCCCTCTGGTGTTAGCTGTGTCTTCAGATGTTAACTGTGTCCTTTGGTGTTAGCTGTGCCCTCTAGTGTTAGCTGTCTTCAGGTATTAACTGTCTTCAGATGTTAGCTGTGTCCTCAGCTCTTAGCTGTTTCCTCATGTTAGCTATTTCTTCAGTTGTTAGCTGTGTCCTCTGGTGTTAGCTATGTCTTCAGGTGTTAGCTTTGTCTTCAGGTGTTAGCTTCGTCCTCAGGTCTTAGCTGTTTCCTCATGTGTTATCTATGATGCATTCATGAATCTTTGATATGTCTTTGTCTTTGTGCAGGACTCAGAGGGTGTGTCCATCATGCTGGGTGTGTGCAGTAGCGGTCTTCTGGTGTACAGAGACAGACTGAGGATCAACAGGTTTTCGTGGTCAAAGATCGTCAAGATTTCATATAAAAGGAACAATTTTTACATTAAAATTCGACCGGGAGAGGTGAGATCCTCCACCTGTGCTCCACAGTGAATAGTCAACACACTGATCCTGTTCTGTCTGGTCATTTTTAATAACCTTTGTGTTTACATCAAATGACTACACAGTCACTGAGAGTAAATTTCATCTTAGCAGGTGTATTATCAGAAAACGTTGTAACCATATTTTAAGACTCTTCTATAATTTTTCTCTGTCTTGCTGAGTAATACATCAGAGAGCAGTGACTTAGATCATCTGGTTGATAAATTTACAACTTCTTTCCAACCTTCATTCAGTAAAACTGAATAAGAAAGTAATCAATCAGCGGAGATTGGTTCTGTGGTTAAATTCTGAGTTATGCATTTTAAAACAGGCATCTAGGAAGCTGTAAAGAAAATGATGCTCAAAGTCAGAGTTTTTATTTGTCATACGCACCGAATGAAATTGTGTACACAGGGTCCCAGTTACAGCCAACAGAAGTATAAAATGTAAAAGATGAACAGTAATAACATCTAAGATATGAACTAAGAATAACGTTAAACTAAAAATACACTAAGCACTAGTAGTATAAAAACAATATGCCAAACAGCAGCATGAACATGAGTCTGTGTGAGCAGATGAGCACGTATGAACACAGCAACATGAAACAGATCAGCAGCAACATGAAACAGATCAGCAGCAACATGATGTGATTTTTCACAGTGATTATCCTGGTTAGAAGCCACTCCCTGTCTATATGGACTTCCGTCCTCAGCAGTATGAACTCAGTGACACATAATATTGCTAAACATCTGACTGGTATTTTAGCTCCTCTTGTAGGAAACGCACATCATCACATAAAGGACTCCATTGATTTTGCCAACAAAGTTCAATACTTGAAGCCAGCTGCAGGTGAAAACCTTGTATCACATAATGTGACTTCTCTCTTCACTTGCATACCCATTTCAGAGTCAGAGTCAGAGTTTCTTTATTGTCATTCGCACCTCATGTGGTACATGTGGTGGAGCGAAATTATGTACACAGGGTCCCAGTTACATCCAACAATAAAATGTATAAGAAAAACAGTAATAACATCTAAGATATGAACTAAGAAAAACATCAACTAAATATACACTAAGCACTCATAACATAAAACATTGAACATCAGCACAAACATGAACATGAGTCTGTGAGGAGATGTGCACGCATGAACACATCAACATTAAAACAGATCAGCAGCAACATGAA